ATGCACTGATGCATATGCTACAGGTGTATTTAGCTAGTGGAAAGAAATTCCTTATGGTTAGAGACCCTTGAAAGAGTGCTGCCTTGCCCTGGAGCTTAGTTGGGCCTTGAGAGGAGATGCAAACCTGTATACATTGGCCATTCTAAACAGAGCGAAAGCCAACTGAAACCATCCCACATAAAGAAATAGAATTGGAGCTTTTGCTCCTGAGAGTGAGGAAACAGAAACTTTGGAAAATTAGATTGTTTATATATGTGCTATGCTATTTCCTTCCATCTGAACAAATATCAGTGAGGTCTGCTGTATATTCCAGTTATCACCCAGGTATTTTGTCAATTTCAGACATGAAAAATGATTTGAAAAGGACTTTATCTTAAAGATGGGAAGGAAAAACATCCATTTACCTCTTAAAGGTCATTTAGTTGCTTAGCACCAAGGAGACATTACCTGTCTACTCTTTGAAGACAGCTGAACTATGTAGAAAATTATGGCATTCTGATTTCTATTAGTAAAAATGCCATATTTCCAGCTACACTAACAAGTAGGAACAGCAAAGTAATTAAGACTAAAGTATTGCATACTTCAGGTCGACTTAAAATCCTCTTCTGAATGAAGTTGGAATGATGGTGTTTTTCACAAACGTGGCTACTTCTGTTTCAAATTAGGACCTGGCAACTCTGTGATAAGCTGATATATATACTCAATAGTTGTGTAAAGACACACGATTTGTATGGAGAAAGTAGCCGTATTGATTACATTTTCAGCAAAGTGTAGTGTTGGCATTAAAGTCTATCTCATGGGCATTAAAAGCCATGTTTAACTTGAGTCATCACAGTTTAAAACTGTTGGAAGGACTTCGTAGTTTTGTATTTCTAGGGTTCCTTCATAGTATAGTTGGAGCTACAATTAGAAATAGCACACAGAATTAAAAATCTTTGCTTTGAAATTTAATACAACTGAAACCAAATGCTAGCTCAGCAATTAACTAGTTAGGTGAACTCGATTAAGTTCCTTAACTGTTTCAAGACATGGTTGATTTTGTTCTGACAAATGTGGATAATAATAGTACCTACCCATGAAATTATGCTGAGGATTAAAAGGGATGATTCATGCTCATGATCCAAAGTAAGGACTCAATAAATATTACCTACTAATTTCTACACAAGGTCATAGTTATATACTATCACAATGTGGAGCCAATTTCTAATGACTAATACAACTAAAAATCATTGGAGCATTTTATACTTTCAAAGTGTTTTTACATGATTTATCATATTAAACTTCCCGCCAACCCCTAGATATGGTTTTGCTGTATTCCCACCCAAATCTCATCTTGAATTCCCACATGCCATGGGAGGAACGAAGTGGGAGGTGATTGGATTATAGGGGCAGGTCTTTTCTGCACTGTTTTGTGATAGTGAATAAGTCTCATGAGAACTGATGGTTTTAAAAATGGGAGTTCTCCTGCACAAGCTCTCTCTCTGCCTGCCGTCATTCATGTAAAATGTGACTTTCTTTTCTTACCTTGTTCTATCCAAGCTGGAGTGCTAGATTTGAAATAACAGCAGGGCAACAGATAGAGCAATAGTTAGAGAAAAGGTTTGCAAACCTCATTGGGCCTAAAAATACACATGCAAAATAAAACTTTACCTTTTTTTTTTTCTTAAGAGCGTAAGCTTTTTTCAACTACACATTTTGCTTTTCTTGAGTCTGCTTTATTGTGGGGTCAGCTCATTTGCTGACTTTTGTCTGTTTCACCCTGAATATTTTATCTTAAACACTGGGCTGATTTTTCAAACAGATCTATGTACAGAGCAGAGTTTAAAAGGCACAACGTCAAGGGTCCTTGAGAAATTTTGAGTAGAGTAGTCAAGTAACAAGGGCACTGGAAGCTACAATTAAGTAGACTTGAAGAACCATAAAGAGTTGATGTGAATAGCAGCCCGAGAGTGTTGTCCATCTTAGAATTGTGGCTGCAAAGCACTGAAGATTTTTCCACAGATTTTCTATCTCAGTTACACGACACATGTGTCTTGTACTTTTTAATATTCTTTTATAATGCTGTAATGTCCATGATTCACAGAATATTTATAAGGGTATAGATACTGCTTCCAAACAGTTAGGCTCCCTTTCTATGACAGCAATGCTTAAAGTGACTAATTGCATATCTTATTTATTTGTGGATTTTTCAACAATTAGTCACCATTTATGGACCAAGGCAAATTTTGAAATAGTTTTATATACTTGTACAGAGATAGTGATATCATATGAGGTGTTAACAGTATCTCTCACAATGCACTCCAAGGACCTCCCACGTAAGTCTACATTAAGAGTGAAGGCTATTGCTAGCTACAGTTACAATCTTCAAGAGAATGAACAGGGACAATGATGGTCATTGAAAACCTTTTATACAACCCAACCTTGTTATACTAAAAAGAAATTTCAGTGTAATAGTCACAAAGAATTTTACATTGTCAAAGAAATTTCCTATTATAGAAAGCGGTGCCAGGCTCCAGCATCCCTCCCTAGCCAATGACACATCAATCTTGATTCCTCTGTGATATCATCTACCAAGTTGTTAGGGTCTTGTCCATTGTGATTCCAAAATATATTCTGAAGCAATCGCACTCTTTCACCATCTACACTGCTGATGGGCTTGCCTAAACACCATCATTGCTAGCCTGGTTTACCTTAACCCGGTGTCTTCATTGATTGCCACTCCATTCTCTGTACAGCGCTAACATTTAAACCCATGCTATTTATCGTGGCTTGCTTGCTTTTTGGAGTCTAGTCCCTGCCTTGCTCTCTGACTTTATCTAATATTTGCCCCAGCTATTCTGGGCTTTTTTGTCTTTGAAAATTTGACATCTTTCTTGCTTGGTAGTTCTCATGATTTCTCTACCTTTGCATGGCTGGTGCTTCTGCCCATGTTGGTCTCTTCCCAACAGCAGCTTCCTCAGAGACCTACTCTGGCCTTCTTTTCAAAGTCATGTATTGCTTTATGACTCAGATACAAGAAATGTACTGTCAGACGATTTTTGTCATTGTGTGAACATCATAAAGTGTACTAACACAAACCTAGATGAAAGAGCCTACTACACACCTAAGCTCTATGGTATGTGGCCTACTGCTCCTGGGCTACAAACCTGCATAGCACGTTACTGTAAGGAATACTACAGGCAATTGTAATATAGTGGTATTTGTGTATCTTATGGTATCTAAACATATAAAAGATATAGAAGTACTGTATTATATGGGACCACCATCATGTATGTGGTCTATTGACTGAAAAGTTACACTGTGCATGGCTATTTCTCCCAAGGCATTATACGTGACTGTTGAACTTTTGTCATCACATTTGTCATCTGGCTTTATCTTGGTAATTTTACTTGTTGCTATGTCTGATATCTGGAGTATTACCTTTGTGAAAGAAGGGCGTCTGTCCTGTTCACTTGCTTACAGACCAGTGCTGGATACTGTTCATAGCAGGCAATAATCAAATATTTTTTGAATGATTGAAAGGGACTATGAGATAAGATGCAATAAGAAAAGGAGGGTTTCATGAATATGAATAAGTTTTCAGCAAAGTATAATGAAATATTTATTAAGGAAGTAAAAATTTGATTGCAAGCCTTAACAAAAGACAGGGTTAGTTGAGCTTAGTTTCTTGATGAGAGGTGTGAAATGGAAACACTGAGAATACAAACATATTTTTAATAATTAATGATCATTAATGTCCTCTAATCAGGGCAGAACTTATTAGTTAAACAAATAGTTATCTTTCAGAATTAAAAGGTAAATAGAAAGATAATTTGTATCTTTGTTTATTTTTTTCTCTATTGTTTTGAAACAGGAAAGAATATTCCTTTTGTGAAAGTGAATACGCAAAGAAATGCACCTATTGGCAAATAAGCCGAATGTCCTTATAAAATATCAGAAGACATTTAGAAGCATTCCACAACCTAAGTGCTGTTATTCCAGAGTCCAAAAGACCCAAATTATATATAAGTTGTTGTCTTGGTTGTCCCTACTCATGAAGCCATTTCTTAATCTGAAATTTTAGAAATTCTGGCTCAATGGAAAGAATTTCATGTTTGTCTCTTGTTTTTATTGTTTTGGAAATCTCAGTTGGTTTTGAATACCCCTAACGTTCTGTATTTGAACAGTCATTAAGCCAAGAGTTGATAGATTTGGGAGGTGGACTCTTGCAATAGGCGACTGTATCTTACAGGGTCAAACAAACTTTGATTCGTACGTCAGTCATGTACTGGTGCTCTGAGCAGGTTATTTCATTTCTGCAAGCCTTAGTTTCTCACCTAATGGAGAGTAACACATATTACAAGGTTATTGTAAAAATTAAATGAGATCGTGGCTGTCTAACACAATGTCTGGTATATTGTCATTTCCATCCACTTTTACTCAGTTCTGACACTTACCAGCAATGGGACCTTGTCAATGCACTTACCGGGGTTTCAGTTTTACACTTTCAAATGAGAGAATAATAGCCTGCATGTTCTTAAGAGGATTTTTAAAATCTAAGTGCCTTGCGTGTACAAGTGATCAGTCTGATCATTCAGATGGAAATGATATGTTTTCTTCCATGTCTCTGATCACCCCTTCACATTAATTTATATTTTATTTCATCTGTTTTCCCATGCATTAGTGCGAATATTAGATGCTTTCTTGAGAAAGCCATGTCTATCTTTCAGACATGTCAAGTGCTAAGTTTTTTTTTTAAATCTCAGCAGCCACAGCATGTTACATAATGTAGGAGGCAATGGTGGTCCTCTTGGTAATATCCTTAAGAGATTCATACCAAGAGTTTTGAATTTTCTAAATAAAATATCATTTTTTAAATGTTTTAAATTTAATTTCTAAATAAAACATCACTTTTAAAAGGTTTTAATTTTAGTATTTCTCTGTATTTGAAAAAGCAATTTCAGAAACAGAACACTTGTACACCATAAACACTTTTGCTTCTTCAAGTTCAGCCCACTTACCTACTCCTACATGAGAACTCAGGTACCGAGAGATAGCAATGGATGTTCCCTCCGCATTTAAAAATCTCCTTACTTCAGTTTCACTTCTGCAGTATGCTAGAACCCAACTTTACTGGATTCTTTTCACATTTTGTCAAGTAAGACTAAAACATAGATAAAGAAATACGCAGTTGAAAATGCATTTGTATTTTAATCGAGAACTGTGTGTTCAAAAATTATCACTCCTGCAAACAGAGACAGTCATCAATCATAAGTGCTCCTTTGTATCTGCAGCAACTTATTACAGGGAAAAGAAGTATCTCTGGATTCTGAGAAATTTGCTGTCAGAAATACTGCATGGAACTCCTTTCCTTTTTTAATTTCCTGCTAGCCTCCAAAAGGAGAAATGAGGTAGGAGGGATGCTTTTTTCTTCTGCTGAGACCTGAAAATAGAGAGGAATAGACATTAATCTGTAATACTGTCATTTAAATCAATACTCTGGAAATGATATTAGTCATTACTTTTATTGTTTAGTATTAAAAATCATAGCAAGATGGGTATAATACTTAATAAATGAATGTATGTATATGAGTGTAGATAGGTTTTTGTGTGTGTATAATTTGATTCCTACAAAAACTCTTACATTTTAATTGTGAATCAGAGAGCAAGACACTTAGGACAGGAACCCAGGGCTTCTGCCTCCTACATCATTACCATATTCTTTATTTAAAAATCAGAGATTTGGTTAAAATAATACAATTTGAGGGATCTGAATAACTGTATGTATACATACATGTGTACACACACAGATAGCACAAGAGAATTTTTCACATCTCATCAAGATGTTGATTTACCTTTTGTGATTTTTAAACAATAGTTTTAGTACTTAATACAGACCTACCTTCAACCTGTATTTTCTGTATTGAAATTATCAACTTTGAGAAATGAGCAACAATTTAAATCCCCAGTCAGCATAAACTAGATGGTGAGACAAAGGTCATCTGCAAGTTGTACTCTAAATGTTAAATCCTTCCATGTGCTTCTATTTTTATTTCACATAATATGCAAACATCATCATGGTAGGAATATTTTCTTTTTTTATAATTCCTTGAAAGTATGAGAGAAGAATACAGTGATAACTTAGCAAAACATAGCATCTGAATCTAATTGTGTAGGTTTCTAATATCCAACAAACACTTCAGTTAACTGTCTCCACATTCTTCTCATATTAAACTATGAAATCAAGAACTAAGCAGAAGAGCATTTCAGTGGAAGGCTGATCTCAGAAGCAATTCCCACATCTACACCATCCAGAGCATGTCCAGTCTCAAATGAACACTTAGCAGTTTTCATCCTTCAGTATTTATTTGGAATACATGAGAAATGAGCAAACAAGTTTTACAGCCTTGGAGATAGGGAGTGTCTTTTAAGGGTTAAGAGTATGACATTTAGAGTTAAGGAAACCTAGGTTTATATTCAAACTTTCCCACATGAGCTTAAGCAACCCTTTAGTCCTCATTCTCTTCATCAATAGAATGAAAATAATATGATCTATCTTGTTGGATATGTTTTGTAAGGATTATCAATTAATATATATTCAATATACTAATCAGGGAAATAAAATCTAAAACCACAATGAGATGTCCCATTAGGAAGGTTATTACCAAAATGACAAAAGATAATCTTTTATGTATGGCTAGGATGTGAGAAAAGGGAACTCTTGTACACTGTTGGTGGGAATATAAATTAGTACAGCCAGTATGGAAAACAGGATGAAGTTTTCTCAAACTAATAATATAGCTACTATATGATCCAGCAGTTTCATTTCCGAGGGTTATATACACAAAGGAAATGAAATTAGTATCCCAAACATATGCTGCACTTCCATGTTCATCACAGTCTTATTCGCAATAGACAAGATATGGAAGCAACCTGAGTTTTCATCAGTAGGTAAATGGATAAAGAAAACAAACATAATGTATATATACAAGGAAATACCAGGCAGCTGTGAAAAATGAAGGAATTACTGTCATTTGCAACATAGATTAACCTAGAGAATGTTGTATTAAATAAGCCAGGCATGGAAAGACAAATACTTCATGATCTCATACATGAAATCCGAAAGGCTGAAATCATAAAAGCAGACAGTAAAATGGTGGTTTTCAGGAGTAAGGGGTAGGAAATGGGGAGATTTTCGTGAAAGACTACAGAGTTTTAGAGAGGATAAATAATTTCAGGGATGTATTGCATAGCATTGTGACTACAATAATAATGTATACTTAAATTGTTGAGAGCAAATCTTAAATGTTCTTGCCACAAAAGTGTGTTAGGTGATGAATTTGTTAATTGAGCTAATCATTTCATAATGTATACATATGTATCACAACATCACATTGTATGCCATGAATACCTAGAAATTCTATGTGTTATTAAACCTTAACAGAAGTGAGAAAACTTAAAAAATATATAACACTTTGACTAGTATCTTGGTCACTCTTGATAGTACTTAGTAATCATAATTTTGTACTTGATAATACTTAGTAATCAAGTAATCTTGACATGGTCACTCTTGCTAGTACTTAGTAGTCATAATTTAATCACATTATCTGTGCTTCCTTTGATACTGTTTACCTTCTGCCCACTACTCATTCAGTGAATATTTATTGAGTGCCAACTATGTAAGAAGCTTAGTCACAAAGGCACATATCTGTTCTTATGTGATTTTGTAATTACTCTATTTGTGTTAATGTATCACTCATAGTTTTTATTATGTATTCTCTACATTTTCTATTTATTACTTTAGTTATGCCATTATTCCAAATAGTCTCAGAAATAAATGTAAAGTTTTGACTGATAAATGATTCAAAGAAGAGCAGATCGATGCTATGAGGACCTTGTTTTCCAAATTGAGGAGTATACCTGCTACACAGCTATTACCCAGATTCTCAGGGCTAGAAAGAATTGAAAAGACACCCAATTAACCAAGTTTGTGTTTGTAGGTTATTCTCTTTAATTATTCTCCTCTGTACATTTTCTATCGTTTAGTCTAATTAAAGTCCATTTTCTCTGTTCCTTGTCACTTTCTCAACTTACTATAAGATAAATAATTATGACCCAAAATAAGGTGGGGATATAAATGGGAACACGATATAGTAATATCTTGTTAATCCAATGCTAGTTCATTCAAAGTAACATTCAAATAGAATCAACAGTTATTTCCCAGTCAAATAGAAATGGTTTTCTCATTAACATTGTTCACTTAATACAAAGCACGCATTATGAATTCTTTAAGGCAGAAATTAGATCCCAAGAGGACCCTGCATTATTAAAGAGGTAAAATAATTCCAACAGTTGCCATGAAACAGCTGTATATCAGCTACAAGTGAAACCATATCTGTGAACCACTGTGATTACTTAAGACTGCAGGATTTGGTTCATGGAAAGTCGTTCATTCACCTCTCCTCTTTAAAACAAATATTGGGACTACTTTTTAAAATCTGCAACATTTTTCATAGGAATGACTTCCCTGCTTTTTATAGCATTCAGTGTCTGGTACAGAATTAAATAACTTTAATAATTAACAATACATTGAAGAAGCTCTTGTTGAACTGTGATCTAATTTTTCAGTGAGACACTTTTTTTATGATCTTGAATTTCTAAACACTGAAAATTTTCCATTGTGATTGCTATAAGTGTACTTGGAGGAAAGCACTGGGAGATACAGGTCTGCATTTTTGAGAGGGACATTTCTTCCTCTTTGGGGTCTTTGAAATGGAGCTACTATAATCTGATGTTCAGATCTCTGATGTTTGTTTTCAGACTTAATACAATTTTAATGTTTAAGAACCTGAGGATGATTCGATTAGAAGTGTTATAAAAGCACAAATTATTAGGATTGTTCAAAATGTTAACTGCATCATCTCATTAAAAAGGAAAATCTTGTTTTAGTAGGAATCCCTGGGGGTATGGATGGTATTTCTCTTTTACAACTATTAAACAAGCCACAGGTCGACAGTACAGTAAGCATGCTTTGAGCTATCAGGGAATGATTTTACATATGACCCCCTCTGTTCTAGGAACTGTTGAGAACAATTATTCCCTGCTGTGGCCCAAGTTGTGTCAATATGAAAATTCATTTGGGAAATATGTAAATCATTAGAAAAGGTTTGCAGTATTTCATCCCCCTAAGGATAAAATATAACTTGCTATGTCTCCATGGTGATTTATGACTCTTGAATTTCCTTGGGATAGATAAACCATGTGCAGTTTAACATCCTATACTCTTTAAATGAACCAGCATCACAATCTCCCCATGATCTATTTGCATCACAGAGAGGGGTAGATCTGAAGATTACATCACAAAAGCATGTGACAGCAGAATCTGTGTTTTATAGTAATACATATAACTACAATTTCATGAAAAGCCAATTCAATTCATAGAAAAGGTATGACAGCATTAACTTTGCCATTACATTAAAACAGGCATACTTTCAACACGTTTTTTATTATTCTTATGCACAGTTTCCTAGATGCAAACAGGAAACAGATATCTAAGACATGACCCCTATTTTCAAAATGATAGAACTCAAAATCTTTATAAGTTTAACTTACTCTCTAATTTCAGGTCCATCAAACCAGAGTGAAAAACAAGGAAACTAGCAAACATATAAGAAACCTCTCTTCCTCCCAGATTTTCTCTTAAAACAGAGCTAATGTTTACAGACTTAAGAGCTAGTAAACCCTATTTTATGCCAGACAGCCAACTGCAAACTCCTCCTCCTCTTTAAATATATTTCAAAAGCCAAAAGAAGTGAAGAATCGACTAAAGCACCCCTGGGCGAATCCTGGTGCTACTCACACTGTTGATGTCTTTAAGGGAGATCCTGGAACTGTTTCCGGTTCTGTACAAGGAAAGGAGGCATTTCCTTTTCTGCAAACCCAAGATAGTGAAACTCTCCACCATTATGCTTACCAAAGTCCTGCTTATCCTCCAAGGTTTGACTCCTTCTCAAACATAAGGAATTAGTCTCACCCTTCTGTGTCCTCCCAGAACTTGCTACACAACTTATTCATAGCTTTTGATGATCCCGCACCATGAGAAATACACATATTCCTATCTCCAGAGCAAGAATACAGATTGCAAGACAATCCAAATCTCATTCATTCTTGTATTTCTACAGTTTAGAAAAGTACATGGCATTCATGAGGTACATAATGAGTTAAATACTGGGCCACAATAAAAGTTTGAAGTGATGGATATCACCAGATTTGATCATTACACATTGTATGCTTCTATCAGAGTATCATATGTACCCCATAAATATGTACAACTATATATTCATAAGAATTAAAAATATAACTTTTAAAAGTAATATTTTGCATTTTGAGGTTTTCCCTTCAGGAAAAAAAAAATGGGCCATGAATTGTTTTTAATCACATTTG